CACAAAGGCTCATGGGTAGACACTTGTTTGTAAACACTGACACGCTATGACCATCTGGCGCATGCGCAGGTGGCGACTCCTCCGCTTTAAATTGAACTTGGTAGATATTGGCATCGGGATAACATTTTTCGAACAAATTATATTGCAGCTATTCACGCTTTTCACAAGTTTAGCCATTTACTTGAAAATACACTCTCCGGGGTAAAAATGAATATTTCGTAGAATGGCTGCAGGCCCAGAAGGGAAAGCAGGCAAATGCCAACTGATATGATTCAGAGATGAAGTTTCAAGTTAAGGTAGAAGCCTACTTGTATTTTTTTTTTTAGGAAAGTTGGTCATAAATCACATGAAAATGTTCCTTGGTTTATTGTGTAAAAAGCTATTGTCCCATATGCACCATATTATCGTTGTGTCGTCACCGGAAGCGCTGTCCCAGCACAAACCTGTGTCATATGACGCCTTACTAGCCGATTTTGGCTAAAATAGCGCTCCGCCGCCTCTTTACAACAGTGTTTATACGCGGAACTTGGTATTGCTTTTTACAATTTGGGTTGCCTTTGAATCACATATTTTAGTGAAATATTGTTTATAGAGTGAAATATTATTGTCACACATAATTCAATCTTTGAAACAACAGAAACTAACACATTAATAACGATAATCAAATTTGTGTTTGAAGTTCGAAAGTAGTTGCGTTATTTCCGGTTTCAACTAGTTCGAAAATAGAACGTCCTTGAGCTCAATAAAATCACGCGTAGAACTCCATTCGAACTAGCGTAAACTTATTGCAATTTGCGCAATTTGGGCCCAGTTTGTTCTTACAAGCTTTCTAAGTTTCATTTATCATTATTTAGTAAACAAGTCTCTGAAACGATTTAATATATCCGTAAAATACGTGGCAATCGACAATTGACTTCGAAACGTTCGAAATTTCGAACAAACTCCCGGCACACCTAGCGCGATATGCGTCAGATCGGTGTAGAAGACGCCGAACTGCAGCGTCAATGCCATATTATAGCATTCGTTTGTGTGTTACAGTGACGTATTTTTGAAAAAAACCTCGTCTTTCAAAACGTCCAGGGTCGAACTGGATAGGGGTCGAGGTGACGAGAAATCAATTTGAATACAACACCTGGATGCAAATTACGCAGAACACCTGGGGTTATGAACACCTCTTGCGGTAGAATGTGGAGAGTAAATATGTAAATGAACTGTCCTGTTGAAATTGAATTGACTGAAACAGTCCAAGGAAGCGGACCTCGTCATACTACACGACACGTAAGTTCAACACTGGTGCCACCGTGACGAGAAACAAAAAAAAAACACAGTAGCTATAGCATTTTAGTATTTCTGAACCAGTGAGTCCTGGGCATTTATTGTCTACCTAACCAGAAAGCACATGCCTTACGCACGTGGTGTTAGTTCAATTTCTCATTTATGATCAAGACTCCATACGAAGCTACTTAAAAACTATCCACCAGGAACCGATGAAACCTTTAATTTTAATCAAGTATTATTTTAAAAGATAAATCGTCAGATATTTATATTTTTTCTTCACGTGTCCATTTCTTTCATGATGTACTTTCAAAATTGGCAAGTA